AGTAGGTTCACTGCTACTGCATTGGTGTGTTTTTCTAATTTTCTTAAGTGTTTGGTATTTCGCCGGTCACGGTAGCCGAGCGGTCTTAGGCATGCACTGTCTTCGCTCGCTCGAAAGCCGGGATCGTGGGTTCGAATCCCACTCAAGGCATGGATGTTTGTGTGCGTTTTTCTGTGTTTGTCTACAGGTAGAGGCCTTGCGACGAGCTGATCACTCGCCCAAGGAGTCCTACCGTATGTGTAAGAACTAAGAAAACCGAAGTGAACGGAGAAGTTCATGGAGGTAGGTCTAGGCCCACTGGGGCTGTAGTGTCAAGGGGGGGGGGGATTTGGTATTTCACTTATTTCACTGAGTACTGTGTTCATTTGTAGATCTTCATGGATCCTGTGGTTGTTTATGTACCAAGATGCGTTCAGAATGGATCGGAGAGACTTGGACTGAAAGCGCTGGAGGATTTCGGTGTTGGAATTGACTACTGAATGACTAGAGATTCTCAGAAACGGTTCCGCTTCGTGGAGTTAGCTAACTCAATACCTCACCCATTTTATTGCATCAAATGATAACATGATTAATGAATAATGGATTGGGGAGGCTGTGGAATGAAGAAACCATGGCACGATGAGGCACTACATCAGGATATGCCTGGAGGTGTGGGGGGGTACCAGTCTCGGGATCAAGACGTAAATCCGAAAATCCCGGAATGACGTAACAGTGCCGAGTACGAACTCGGGGCGGAAAACCTGTGTGAGACGAGCGGCTTATGAGTCAGGGCTGGAAGTGAGGGTAGACTCGGATAGACGCCGTCTGCACAGTTCCAGTGCCTTGAGACGCGTTCCCAACATCGATACTCCTAAGAACGAACTGACGAGCATACACTGTAATAATTTCCCTTTAGCATGTGTCGGTCATTCCCCCGGGCTCTCCTACTGACGTCAGCTAACTACCTGGTTCTGAAAACCAATTTCCATCCGTGTTGTCGATCTTCCGTTCTCCCTTTGAACGGAGTCTTATAGTTCAGATGTTCTTCTCCCTCGAGTATTTCTCTCTCACATCTATATCATCTTTTCTGAGTTCTGCTCTCTGCTCTCGTCAGGCAACTTACGAAAGTTTCTCTCGTTCAGCTAGTTGACTTTTACTTAGAAATATCGTCAGCTAGATGGCAGCACAAACTGTCCCTCGGTGCTTGTTGGATATTTTTCGAAAAAATCATAAAGTTTGTATAAAACTTGACCGTGTGCTCTTCAGCTGCTCCTCAAAATGAGACCAAGCACCTGAGAACTTAGAGGCTGGACCAGGAGAGTTAGTTACGAGTTGCCACGGCGAACTTTCAGAAGATTCTGAAGTAGAGACCAACATCATAAAGTCACTATACATATCCGCCAGAATAAACTATAAGCGACATGTTAACATCTATGCTTAAGTGCCTATTGCGATGGCGTAAAGTTGTCGTTGTGCTTAATTAAGTACCGTGATATTTACACGTGTCTGAGTAACTCTCGACGGGCTTTTGGATTGGATATTTGATTTATTGGTAGAGGCCGTGCGACGAGCTGATCACCCGCCAAAGGAGTCCTACCGAATGTGTAAGATCTAGAAAAACCGAAGTGAACGGAGAAGTTCATATAGGTAGGCCTAGGCCCACTGGGGCTGTAGTGCCAAGAAAAAAAAATGATTTAATTACCACTTTAGTACACAACTTAATTACATGCAATAATAGCGCAATCGCTAATTTCTACACTTTTCAAACCACTAGAACATATGAAAAGTATTTTTCAGTCCACAGATTCTTCACTAGACGTTCCCTGGTAACGGCTTCTAACAATGACTATTCCTCTGCTTCATTTTTCAAGTCCTCTCTGAACGGCTGCTCCCTTCCAACTGCGATTTCTTGCTTCAACTAAATCTTCTCTTCACCGACTGACTTTCAATTGACTAGCTCCCAGGTTGGTGGCGATTTCACACCATTCTCCTAGTATTCTCTTCACAGCCCGACTTCTAATTGACTAACCTCGAACCTTGTCCCTTCCTTATAACATCTCAGTACCCTCAGTTCCATGCGTATCCATTCCGGCGGGAACGTATTTACCGAGCCGTTCCCTAGCAACGTCCATCTATTCTTGCTTATTAAGAACCTGCTGCCTAGCAACGGACGTAGTTTCGTTGTCTGTTTCGCGTGCATTGCCTAGAAACTAAAGTTGTTTGAGACCGTTCACTAGTAACGGCTGTTTCTTTGGCTCCACAGTTCTTGCTCCGTGTAAATATGCCACAATATGAAGACGTATAGTGGACTGGAGGTACAGTTCCACCATTCTTAACCTCGACCCCGAATAAGCTGGTCTAGAAGTAGCATCATAGAGATATACGTATTTCTGAAGAGCTCAGTTCGAATCTTGGAATGGACACTGGCTATCCTGAGACATTTCGTGGTTTTACCTTAGTCCCCCCAGGCATATTCTAGAATGGTATCTCGATTAAGCTTCTATCGCTTCCTTCCAAATCCTTTCCAATTCATCATTCTTCTACCGTCCGACGCTACATAGTCTCAACAATGAATGCTTCGTTAAATAACCCACATAAAAACATTAACATCGGCACTAGCTGAAGTTGAGTGGTCAGCTTCACGCCCAGGCCGTTTACGCCCGAGGAAAGAGCCCCACGTGCCCACTGGATAGGAGGCTGGGTGGGCCCGAAAACTGGTCTTGGCCCTGTGGAGAAGAGAGTAAATAATCTCTTGTCTCTGTTGCGAATAGAACCCCGATTCCTAGGCCTTCCAAACAGTAGTTCATCGCTATACCGACTGAGCTATCCCGGTTCCATGCATCTTTAATGCAAGTGGAAACTGTTCACAACTTCTCTTTAATTTAAATGACGTTAAAATCATATCAATTGCTACACGTTTCGGCCTTAGTTAGTTATTTAGAGAGGGAGGGTTTCCCCATGCACCGCGACCAGTTTGATCTATTGTACTTCCCTCTATGATATTCTACCAGTCTCTATACCCTACCGATAAATGGTGCGTACCATCAGTCCCGCCGAGCAAGCGAGTTCGGCCACTTGCTTAGCGGTGTCTATAATGCTTCCCCCATCTATCAGAGGCCTTAGAGACTATTGTTGGGCGGGAAACGTCCTGGAATTTGGCTCAGTGATCCCCTTTAGGGCTATGAGGTTTTTTTACGTGCCGTAAAGCTACACACACACAGCTTAAAGTCCCTCCCGGAGGACTTGTTCCCTGAATTTTTCCGCCCTTAAAAATTCGACGACCTCCGCCGGGTATTTGAACCCGCGTACCACGAGTCATGAGGTGGGAACGTTACCTCTAGACTACGGAGGCCCCTTACGTTTCGGCCTTACTTGGCCATCTTCAGACAACTGCTCATGCGCTGAAACTGTCTCAATGCTCTAGAGCGGAAGCTGTTGCACGTCGCTGTTCACACCAAAATGTGTTTGTTTGAGAAGGAAACTCTCTCTCCGATCTGCGCTCTCTTCCTTTTGCGGCGTCCATGTTTGTCCCCCTTCGTACGTGTGTTCTCACTACTTGAGCGCATGACACATCAATGCAACAGGTGCTCAAATATGATATTATGTGGATAAGCTAACGAGAAGTATTTATGATCAAAACTCTAATATAATTAAATATATATTTATACATATGTAAATGTAAAATTGATCTTAAATTGATGGAGGATACTGTAGCGCTCCCCGACAACCACCAGAGGGCAGCACTAGTCCACGTGATACACAATTTGACTCCTGTGTTCTTCATGCTGTGTGTACATGGGGCCTGTACACCCACAAACAAAACAAAAAACTCAGTGATTTTAGTCCGCAAGCGAACTATACCGACTGAGCGACCCCCGCGAAGTTAATGCCAACTTTCTGGGCATAGAGGATGTCACGTGGTTAGCGCAACGAATCCCCACGGCCGTTAATTTCGGTTTTCTAGACCGGAGCCGCTATTTCCTTCAAATAGCTCCTCAATTATCATCACGAGCCTGAGTGGACCCTGTTCCAGACCCACTACTTCTCAGAAAAATCTGGAATGGCCAGAAATCGAACCTAGACCTCTGGATCTGTAGCCAGGAACTCTGACCCTAGACCACAGAGGCGGTCCTCTGTACACACACAGTTAGGCAGTCGGCAGGAGAGGACAAGGACATCTTTACTGACGAGTATTTCTAGTCTCAGGGGTGTGAGGTCGTGTAGTCCGATTGACTTTTACCAATATTTCGGAGACACGTTCTACTTCCATCTTCAGGGTAGAACAGTAAGACAATCAACCAGCAAGAAGCAATGCACTGCTTATTTTTAGTGAAGTGGAGTTTGTTTTACGACGCCATCAGTAGCTACATTATACAGAGTTTATCACGAGGTTAACAGATGAATGATGAATTGGAACGAATTTGGAAGAAAGCAGCCACAGAGTAATCTAGGATCTATTTTGACATTTGCTTGGTGTAAATGAAGAAAACGACGCAAAACCTCAGTGAGGATATGTAGTGTCAGGGTCCTGATTTGAACAGAGAACTTCGTAGTTGGTTGAGGGAATACGCTACAAGCCGGAAGGTAGCGGGTTCAAATCCCGATGAGGTCATTAAATTTTTTCAATTGACCTAATCCTTCCAGCCCCGCTATGGCCCTGGGGTCGACTCAGCGTCTAACAGAAATGAGTACCAGGAATATTCTTGGGGATAAAGGGCGGCCGGCGCGTAGGGCTGACAACCTTGCCGCCATCTGTCTAGAGAAAATGTGGGAACCTCAACTTCTCACAACCCTATGGGCCTCCACCTTTACTTTTTTTTTTTTACCTCTCGAATATGAATTTAGTAAGCGTTGCCAGTCAGGGTAGTGCTTGCTTCATGTTCGTTGTTTGCGTCCGTTCTTCAGTCCTGCAGGTGGAGGACGTACGTTCCTCTCAAAATGTTGGTAAACTCCTACCGTACTACATGACGTCACATATGTCCGCACTGGGCGCTGAGACAGTCTCACGTGACTTCACTTACCAATGATGAAGAGCGCCTCTACAACCACGTCGCTGACCATGGAGGGCCGGTCTGTGTTCACAAAGCTCGCGTTGTATGGGACTACGACAGCCACGTAGAACGTAGCAATGAGGATGAGCCAATCCCAGCAGCTCTTGAAGACCCCGTAATGGGATAGAATAAAACGGGACTTCTTGAGCGCAGCTGTTTTGTACTCCGGGAGGGGCGCTGCAGTTGGCTGCAAAAGCGTCTGCAAAGAAGATAACACAAAGGATGAGAGATCTGAGGCTTTGGCCGCTGTAACTATGCGCAGTACTGTCTTCCGGAATGTGACGCCGTATGATCTGGACGGGCAATTATCAAGTATTTACAGGAATCCGCTGCCTCAGTATTCGATGCTTAACATGGAAAATAGTCTTCCGAAACGTCAATAACAATATACTAAATTAACCCGGCGTCAAATTTCACAAGATAGCAAGATATGAAGCACCTCATTATGCAGTTTTCTCCAATCTCCCGACACTCCCATTGCCTTAAGCCCAACTGTCCTAAGCAACCTTTCCTCTAGCACCCTCAGTCTATGACCCTCTGCTAGGATGGCCCAACAGGCTTCAGACACATACAAAGTAACGTAATATTTGAGGTTTTCACAGCGGTAACTATAAAGGATACCGTCTTCTGAGATGTGGCACCATTTAGATCTCGTGTGAACCGACGTTTCGGAGGAACGTATCGTCTCCATCACGCTGGTTCCTCGCTCGTGGATTTTTCTAGCCTGAAGAAGGAGGCGATTCCTTCCTCCGAAACGTCGATTCATACAGGATATACTCGGCGCCACATCCCAGAAGAAAGCATTCTTCGCATAAAATAATGATTTAGTGTTCTTAAACTTTCACGTTTTTTGAAACCAGATGTGATGACAAAAGATTCTGAACCAAATGAGAATAAGCATTACCCGAACTTAATTTCTTGATGAGCGGACACGCTGTAGCGCAGTTGTTTGAAGCGCTGTGCTACAAGCTGTTATGTCGCGGTTCCATTTCCGACGAGGTAACGAGTTTTTCAATTTACCTAATCCTGCCAGCCGCACTATGGCCCTGGGGTCGACTCAGCCTCTAACAGAAATGAATACCAGGAATCTTCCTGGGAGCAAAGAACGGCCGACGCGTACGGCTGACAACCTCATCGCCATTTGTGAGCCGATTGTCTAGAGAAAATGTGGAAGCCTCTACGTCTCACAACCCTGTGGGCCTCCACGTCCTGTTACAGGGATAGCTTTACCTTTCCCTTTAATTTCGTGGTGAAATAATTCTGATTTCTCATTAAGCATGTTGCATATGTATCTATGTTAGTTGCGGGACTAAAATAGTTGGAATAATGCGGGTTAAATAAATATGCAAAATTGCCGGAAGCACAGCAATTAGTAGCGACATTCATAAACAAAAGCAACAAAAATCATCCTATTAAATCTGGCATGTCTCTTTCTCCATCATTCTTCGTAAAACAACTCACGAACCACTGGTGATATTTTCATAAAATTTTACATCTTGGAATTTTACTAAAATATGTCAATAGAAGACACTTTTTGTCAATTTTGGTTAACCATAACGGCCATTTTACATGCAGACCTACTTACATTCTGCGCATGTCTCAAGAGTAACTCACGAAATATTTATCGAACCGAAAAAAGTTTCCTAACAGAAGTTTTTCGAAAGAATCAAAGACATATTTTTCCCCCTTAAGTCGTACGGATATCGCTGCAACTGAACATAAGTTGAAGGGCACTCGAGGATTGTTTGCCTATGAGCACAATTATCGAAAGAGAAAGTTAAGGCAATTAACGAGGCCAGATTGCTTGTACTGTTCAAACTGAAAATATCGGTATGATTTTTCGGACAAGTCTTGTCGTTGACGTTGGGTACAGCGAAGCTTAATATATCAGCACGTAAACGGAAGTGCCAAGAGGTTGACCCGATCTAGCCGTCATTTACCTCGCCCTCTCTTCCTTGAATTATACCAAATTTCTAAACTTATTTTACTAATATGAATTTTGATGTTTCCAAGAAGGACTCGTAGCGGTGGGTCCTGTCTGTGTTCAAACTGGAACGCAAAACCTGACGCCGCACAAACATATGCCTTTCTTATCCTTCAATTGAAAACATGTTTCGGTTCTCTATGCCACCATCAGGTGATCTTGAGGGACATACAACTGACAACGGATTACATAAATATCCCCCAAGTTTAACACAAAATTCCATATTAGCATTGCAGTTTACGTAATCCGTTGTCGTTTGTGTATTCCTCAAGATCACCTGATGACGGCATTAACGGGCAGAAACATATTTGTAATTGAAAAATATTGTCACGTGATGTGACTGGCGACGGTGTTTGGATTAGTAACAGAATTTATTTGACACACTCGTAACTAAGTACAAATAACTACTACAGTTTCACTGAGATACACACTCCAAAGATCACTGTAACTACAGCACATATAAAGTCTTCTCAGTCTTCACTAGCTGTTGCTTGGTAGCGGCTTTCAACGGCGAACGTTCCCTTTCATCTGTGTTCCCGAACTATCCCCAGCTTCTCGCGTCTCATAACTGCAACTCGGAACTAGTCAGAGCCAGAGTCAGAGTCACATTGCGACTGACGGTCAGTCAGTCAGTAAGTCTTGGTGTCGAGCCCCATTTGGGGATCATGACCAGATATTTATTATTATCGTTTGACAGTTACGGTCTTGTTTCTGTGGGGCGCCTTCTCTGACGAGAGGACGGGTCTGTCTTTTGTATATGCTGCTGGCTCTTGCCAGCGCAGTCTTTCTCGGGTCCGAGTCCCTTGGGACTCGCGGCCATATTTTACTGTCTCAGAATTGAGACTTGAGAGAGAGAGGGGGGGGGGAGAGACAGAGAGAGAGAGAAAGAGAGAGAGACACACACACTTACGGATCATCTTCAGAGGGAACATCAATACTTACTCGGAAACCACCATCACAATAGGTGCTCTGATTGCTAAATTACATACACACATAATGCCTGGAATACACAATGTACACAATATTCAACTTTTCACAATCACAGCAGCCTTCCTGGTATTAAAACCTTTAAAGTGTTTAAAGAATTTAGCTTACCTGGACTTAAATATATTTAATAGACACGGACAAATAGAAATGGAAATATACAGAAAATCCACAACGACAGACATAACAATAAATAATAAATCATGCCACCCTAAAGAACAAAAATTGCCAGCATATAAAAATTGGATACACAGACTTCTTACACTACCTCTTGAGGAAAATGCTAAAAACTCTGAACTAAACTACTAGTCCTCGTTATACAGCCCCAGCACGGACCGCACAAAAAAAATCTCTCTTCCATTATTGTGCGTTCTCTCGTTGCCGGGGAAAAAATGTGTCCCTAGCAACGACTGTTGTACTGTCGCCTGTTTACACAGCTCTTACTTGGCAATGGGTCTAGATGTTACAATATTAAAAAAAAAATATTTCTGGGTCGGCAGCACTTCTGTTTCTATTCCAAAACAAGGTTTATCCGGATAGTGATCTTCTGGCTTTCCTTCCAGTGACAGGAATTTAAGGCGGCCCTAAAAGGGGGTTTCTTTTGTATTCTTAATAATTCTCCTCCTAACAACAATACTGGATCCATGGAAAGCTCCATCATTTCTCCTATTTCTTTCTTTTTTTTTTCAATTTGTGACAATAAACTAGCTTGGCCCTTGTATGGGCCGCTTTTTGTCCATTTCTTCTCAGATGCTTGGGCCTGGTTCGCTTCATTACCCCATTCTTTGGTTCCCATGACCTCCTGACTGCACGATATCACAACAAGAAATGTCACAATCATATTTAAATTAGGTTAGAAAATTCTGCACTGACTGTACCGTCATTATGATGAGGTATTTTGCCGTGACGTCGAGACGTGTGGGTTGCAGATGCGAGAGAGTCTTCTCTTAAATGAACGATTAAAATGAGAGAATATTTAAATCATACTTCGTAACAATTCTGTTTGAAATACAAATTGATGTGACGTAAGCGTCTGTGTAGATATGATAGTGTTACGTTGCGAAACTGAGGCGGGAAGCCAGCCTTTGGGTTCCAGGTGCAACGGCGAGCAGCACGCCAACTAGCGACAGCGGGTATTTTTGTGAGGAAGGCATAATTAGTATCCCACCGTCATAAAGGTAGAGGCTGAGGCTGCCCTCGTTTTTAATTAATCTTTTCAGACACTGTTCAAGTGTATGGGTGAGAATACTAGAGAAGAAAGATGAAGTAGAAAGCATCCCTACAAGTGTCAAGTGTTAAAAATTTCGATCCTTACAAAATTTGCTGTATCTGACGGCATGTGACATCTGTTGGCATTTTACCTGAAGTACATAGTCAATAAATAATTTAAGGTACCACCAATAGAGAAGGTTGGCATAGCGGTAACCCGGGTATCCTGAATGAGGTTCTTCGCGTGTTTCCTCAGTCCTCCAAGCAAAGGCAAAAGTAGTACCGTGATTATGTCAAGATTACGTCCTTCAGAATGCTTTCTTATTTATTATTTATTAATCACCCTACCGTTTGGCAGTATACAGTCTGTGTTCCAGGATATGACAACGTGTAGTGAGAAATTTACCCTGGTTTCGGAGGACATACTGTCTCTATCTTAAGGGACGAAGTTTGAGCAACGCAATAAAATCAGCAAGCAGAAAAGCTTGTTGCCTATGTCTTTGTCTATTGCTTGCTTGGTATATTCTTCGGCCCCGAAGATAGAGTCAATATGTTCGCCCGAAACCTCAATAAAGTTATACCGGAACATACGGCGTTACAACCCACAATATAGTACTACATTAACAATCTCGGTTCTCGTCTGTCATTTCCATGAAAAGTTAGTATTTAGAGTGTTTCTTGAAGTCAATACTTTTTATTCTTTTTCCAATATTGGATGTTATAATTGGATTTTGAATACGCGTAGCATGGCCTCTAGTCCTTTAATAAAGTCATTTTGATTATGAATCCATCTGTGATTGAATTCTATTCACCTTCAAAGCATGACGGTTAAGTAGTCCTATGAGCTGCTTCAAATACCTCTTTCAACTCTGTCCCATCTGGCTGTTCTCTCTGAGATCCGGTGTTTTCTGTGAGGTACGAACTGAATCTTTATATTTTACTTAACGGAAAAGACGAAGAATTGTCAATAACGTGCTCTAAGGGCGATACGTACACTCGACGAAAAGCCAAGCATATTCATG